ATATATAATTTTCATGCTCACACTCCCCCAAGGAATTTGCCAAAACTTGACTCAATAACATTTACTTTCAAACTTGACCTTTAAGTTTTATTTTGACGCCTGATAACATTTTTTAATTGCCAACTATTCAATAGTAAACAAATCTATTTATTAACTCATGAAGACACCCGGAATGTTCACAGTTCGTGAATGGAAAGCCAATTACACCTTCAGTAAAAGTAATTGTAAGGAATAGAGCACGATAAGATCGTGGATTAATGAGGAAATAACACTTAAATTTCATGTTTGAAATGTAACCTTACAGGAATTCAATTTACTCGTAATAAAATTAATTGTAAATTAAACTCGAAAGCACCATTTTTGTATATCTAACATGGCGCATGAAATGTAATTGATCCGTTACCATTCTATATACGGTTTTAATATTGTATTTAAACCGTACTAGAATATGCATATACGCTTTGCCAAGCGTATTTATTTTTGTATTTTCGTGGACCGTGGGGCCACAAAATTTAGAGCAAAAGTTAAAAAGGACGGATGACCTGAATAATTCACGGCTCTCCCGCTCTGAAAATAAAATCAACTTAATCGTGAACAAAAGGAATGTACGTTGTATGTCCAATTTCTAAGTGCAGCTTTAAATCGCAATTTGGAATATATGCTGAACTTTAGCAATCGGAATATACTCCCACTTCAAAATCTTTCCCTGTAAAAGCAAAATCTTTTAAACCATCCTCGAAACTTTAATGTAAGGATTATTTAGAAGCACACTTTTAAATAGGACGCAATCAAGTGTTGATATCTACTTTTTTTGAATACATTTTGGATACAAAAACGCCCTGAATACGCGTAGCAATGCGTGACCGAAATCAACGTTTCCGCCGGTACGGTATTCACACACCCAAAATTATATCTAGTAAGGGAAGGGGAGGGGGTATATTTTTAATATCTGAAAAACCGAAACTTGTACCCTATGTGGTAAGATTAATTGGCCCAGATTTTCCAGAATGGAGCAGATGAGAAATGACTTTAAAACTTTCATGTCAAGCGTTACCTTTAGGGAGAGGGCAACTGCTGATGGTGGGGCGAAGCCGAATACGGAGGGTGGAAGGGTTGGAATCGACGATCTACAATCTACAAATTTGATAAAAAATCCACCTGTAACATTTCATCTTAATCGTAATTCGTTTTCGAGATATTGTGCTAACGGGCAGACGAACAGACATCGCAAAATTATGAACTCGCTAAGAGCTCGTTCTGTTCTATATGCACTAACGTCTTAATTTAACAAGAATCTTAAAATAACCAAATTTTTAAGCAGAGTGCTCCTCTGCCCCTCAAAACAGAATCGCTGTTGTGTATTTTTTGCGCAACCCACGAAAGTGAGGCTTATATCCTTACTTTTCCGTGTGTGTTCGTCGTTCCGCGCTATAGCTCAGTCCCCAGACCTCGTATCGACTTGGGCTATACAAAAGCTGATGCGTTCCAGAAGTGCAACTATCAAAAATTAATTTTGGCATCCCTCACGCTGTGAACCAAAATCGCCATTGATATTTACGCATCAATTTGTTGGTGGAAAATACTAAACTCTATTCGATGCCCAAGAAGTGATCCATACCTATGCATGTTTGGTGTCCAAAGTATTTTTAGCCAAAAGATGTCAAAATCGTTATTTATCCATCAATCTTCTTGGGAAAAAGTCGATTGGTCGATGCCCAAGAAATGATCCATGTGTATTTTTGGTCAAAAAATGTCGAAATCGTTATTTATGTACCGATTTTCTTGGTAAAATGAAAACGGTGAAATTTGAATACAAGGCTTCGTAAATGAAATATATACACGGTGTCCATTTTTCGAGTGCCACTATGGGGATATCACTTATCTTAAGAGATAGAAAGTTGGTTAAATGGGGGCAAAGTTGCCAATTTTCGTGCTGAATAAGAATCTGAAAAGACATTTCAAATATCTTCAATAGTTTTGAAGATATCTCAAAAAAACAAAAATTTCTGATTTTCGTTTTTATTTTTTTTATGATAAACTAATCGTAGTAGACATTTCTAATTAACACATTATTCGGACACTTTTTAATGGAGATTTCAAATAGGGCATCCTGTTTTTAATAACTGTCAAGATGACCGAGAAACACGTGACAACTTTAGTTTTTCTTATGGGCGCTATTTTGAATTTTCAATTTTGAGATTACGTCTTTTTTTCTCTTTACAACGATATATCACACATGGTGGTTCAGTATCACATTTTTCCTAAAAATACAATTTTTAATTTTTTGAGAAGAATGCTTTGGAAAAACAAAACGTTCTTTTGTTGTGAACAAAAGGTTGACTTATTTCATGTAGTGTCATTTAGGTTTATGCTAGTTGTATTGCGAAAATGCCTTTTTCAAGTGCAGATCAAAGAGATATGATCCAAATTTACTACACTTCTCATCGAAATGCCCACATGACTGCTGCAACATACTTGCAGCGTTATCCAGAGGGGCAACAACCTAGTTTGAGGTATTTTTCTTTGCTGCATAAAAACTTGGGCGAATATGGTTCTTTTAAAAAATGTAGACAGCAATATGGTAATAGACCCAATTAATATGAGCAGGCAATTTGACAAGCGGTTGAGATGAAAATCGAATTTCTACTTCTCTGACAACGCTGCAACCAGACATGGATCAAACTGTCAAACTTTTGTTGACAACAAAAGAACGTTTTGTTTTTCCAAAGCACTCCTCTCAAAAAATGAAAAATTGTATTTTTAGGAAAAATGTAATACTGAACCACTATGTGTGATATATCGTTCTAAAGAGAAAAAAAGACGTAATCCCAAAATGTCAAAATTCAATATGGCGTCCATAAGAAAAACTAAAGTTGCCACGTGTTTCTCCCTCATCTTGAACGTAATTAAAAACAGGATGCCATATTTGAAATCTCCATTAAAAAGTGTCCGAATAATGTGCTAATTAGAAATGTCTACTACGACTAGTTTATCATAAAAAAATTAAAAACGAAAATCAGAAATTTTCGTTTTTTTGTGATGTCTTCAAAAATATTGAAGATATTTCAAATTTCTTTTCAGATTCTTATTCAACACGGAAATTTGCAACTTTGCCCCCATTTAACCAACTTTCTATCTCTTAAAATAAGTGAGATCCCAATAGTGGCACTCCAAAAATGGACACCGTGTATATATAGAACTTCATATTATAGAATCTGAAATGAAATGATAAAGTGTGACATTTAAAATAAGCAAGTTGGAATTGTAACGGGGTTCCCCTGTACAGGAATTTGAAAGAAGGCAGGATATGAGTTTAGGTACGGATGTAACCATGGGTGGGTGTGTATGGATTTGTAGGTTTTTACGAGGAATTGCGAGGAACTAGTTTTATTGAATCATGACGTAAATGGGTATACTCGTATGATTTTATTTTATTAGAATGTAATAATCGCCGTTAGAAATGCAATTTTATTTCAGATGTAAATAGAATAGGAACATATATACTACTTTATGTATGCATATTCGGAATTAGGTAACTGTGTGAGTATGAGAGCTAGTAGAGTCTGATATCTGATATATCGATTATAATAATATATCACGATAATCGGTATATAAACTACTTTCGATATATCACGTCCGCTTTTAAATTAAACCGCTAGCTAGACTATCACATTGTAAAACGTATCATGATGTCGATAATATCGACTACGACTAGTCAACTAGAAACGATTAACCTGAGCAAATTTAATTTATTAAATAGGGGAAAAAATAAAAGTGTTTTTATAGGGGTTAATCACCTTATAAAATGGAAGAAACTTTACTGTTTTAGTAGCTATGCATTCCAGATATTTTAGTGATTGTTATGGAAGCAGAGTCATATAAAACAGTAATATTTTCGGATCTAATGTAGCAAAAACGCCCCAAATAATTAAGTTACGTAACAGCATCGTGCAAATCGCACAAAGAAAAAGAATGCAGTTAATTACACGACTACGAAAATTGATGGTAACATGCAATCACGACTTTTTTGCGAGAAGCCGAATAAACTTTCCATTTTGAAATATCGAATAAAACTAAAATCGAAAAGTTTGCAGTCCCCAAAAATTTATTATGCCAATCTGAATACAAATTGCGGGCGGAAGAATAACAAGATGTAACCGCAAGTTCATTATTTCTTCGAAAGTAAAACCGTAAGGAAGATTGAAAATCGTAGTCGAATAGAAAGATTATGTAATTCGTAAAATATTCAAACCGGAAGGTATCGCAAGGCAAAAAGTCAATTTTACGTCCGTGAATATATAAGAACATTTATTTTATTGATTAAAAAGAAATGTTTCGGTCCTTTGGTTCTTGGTCAATCTTGATAGAATTTTGGCAACGACACTTTTCATAGCTTTTTCTTGCTGCTATTAAACGAAAATCGAATAAGAACCATAAACACAATAAGGTTGCATAATTAATGAATTTCATTACAATTGGAGAATTTGCTTGCGTGTAACAACGTCCTTGTCCCTTCAGTATTCACGATACGTTCAATTTCACTTTGTATTCTCGGCACTTTAGATTGAAATTGTATAACCATTTAAAAAAGTATAACGCGCACCACGCAATTTAGGTGTATGTAGGTAAATTAAAAGCCAATCGGTAAACACAAAAAACGCAGGATGATATCGGCAATTTTGTGACATTAAGCTTAATTAAAATCAAGTTGCGTGTTTGGCAATCGATTTTACATTTCGTTATTGTCTTCATTGTCATCATTATTATACTTATGTTAGTGACGGATGCACAGGAAAACAATTATTATTGTTTCCAAGTTCTGGGAGGGTTATTCACGGGCGTACGACTTTCAAAATATCAAAATACCATTAACTGATGTCAGTCAGGGAAGAGGTCTCTTGAGTCCGTAAACCGACTGAGATAACGTTTTAAATAATCTCGTGCAATCGATTACTGTCACTGCAATAAAAGGCTCTCGGTTAAAATTGAAAAATAGGTTTTTATGATTGAAATAAACCGTCAAAACCTAAGTGGATATCGACGACTACACCCACGGCGCGGATGTAAGGACAATTGATTATAATATCCCTAAAATAAAAGAATACATATCTAGGGCAGTATAGTCATTGTTTAATCTTCATTATTTTTTCAGCGAGGGTCATCCTTGATATGATCAGCGGAAGTAAATATAATTCTCCATTTCGCCATACGACGACGCCAGGGTGTGTACGTGATCCTTCTGCTGTGCAGATCGTCACACAGAAGGTATGTTATACGTGAAAATCTGTACGTGAATTCAAAAACGTCCAACTCAAACAAGCTGAACGTGACGAGAGGGGTGGAATGCATTTCAGTATCCTTACAGCAATTTCTCCGGAAGTATTATTAGGGTCAATTGTACATATTGACTTCAGCGGTGGTTCAGTTGAACTCGGCTGGTTGTCAGGGTAATAATAATCGTTTGTAACAAAATAACAATGGATGCAAAGGCAGACTAAACCGCCACTGAACTCGATATGTACAATTGGCCCTTAGTGGTATTAAGGTACTGACTCCAAAGTAACTTCACGTGTTTTCCAAAAAGAAAGTGTTTTTTTGGAGCAGAAAAACTTGTTTCTGGAAAGCTCCATATACAGTGAGTTTTTATAGGAGTTTGCATGCAATGTAATTTCCCTATGTTCGATTAAAAAAAAACACATCAATCTATGAGATGTGCGCGGTTCACATTCCCAAATCGCGCAACTTGTGTGACTATGAACAGCAATTCTATATCTTTATGATGAAGAGCACTCGGTAAGATTTTTTTAAAGAAGCCATGTGAGGCCACAGCAACTTTAGGATACATTTTTCTTAAACTTACGATAACTTGACTTCACAGGCCACGCACGGACACCACAACTCATTCTGAACCAACCTTCAATTATTTGTAGGTCATGTGCACCTGGTATTGTACTAATTTGATCTATTCAATACATAAATGAAGAAAATAAGAAAATAAATACCGAAAACAATTACAATAAATGTTCGAAGTGTCCTCCTTGACATTCTAAGCAATAACTTAATCGATTTCGTAATTAAATTGGACGGCGGTATTTTTAAAAATGTGACAGCTGTCAATTGCATCTACTACTCATTTGAACTACTCAATAGATTGATGTGTTTGTTTTTTTTTAAATCGAACACAGAAATTACATTGCATGCAAACTCCTATGTTCGCATTTAAAAAAAATTCACTGTATGTTTTAATGCAGGTAATATATTTTTGAAAGTTCCATTCTTTCGAAAAATTCCCCGTAAAAGCAGACGGCCTACCGAAGATAGAAAAGAATATACGGAGAGTGAAGTTTGCAGTCCTTATATCATTTTGTATCTTTATGTAACAATTCATTTCTTGATATCACCCCAATTGAATAGAATCGTTACCACTCTACAATTCACTTTATGTACTTGTAATATGCTCTAAAAGCTTGAGCAGTTTTTATGCTTAATGTTGGAACAAGTAAAAAGGTTCGCCCTACGGTGGGTCACTTTACATATCCCTTCAAAATTTTCATAAATACATTATACAATATATAATTATATTAAAAAAATATAGATTGTGTTACATCAATATGATCAGGCAAAAGAATGCAAAAAATTGCATTTAAAAAATACCAACTTTTTTTACTGCGCCACTGGATTCTACGTAAAAATGTATAAAATAAGCAACTTTAGCTTTTTTCTATTCTTACATGGGTAAATATATGATAACATCCCAAAAAGTTCTAAAAATAATTATTTAATTTTGTATGGTTATTATTTACTATTTATAACTCGATTTATAATCATGAATATCAAGATATTTTGAAAACCACTGGAGACAGGTGTAGGGTATTATTAATGAAAGTTAAAGATTATTGAATAAGGTAAACGATAAGGTCAAAAATAGGTACCTATAGGGTGTTCCATTAAAACAAGTTAAAAAGTCACTATGCAAACATAAATGACAAGAGCGTATTTTCCTGGAGCCGGGAAAAAAATACGTGTAGGCAAGAGATCCTTGCATCATACTCATTCAAATGAATCGCGGCCTATCATCGAAGTTTCACACATGTAGCACTACGTGTCAGTTTTTCATAATATAGTTAAATCAAAAAATAACAACTACTTTGATGAGTGTCCTCGGGTCGTTTTTAAGAACGGGCTTCTAAAAAGACACATAAAATCTTTCGAGGTTTCTAAAGAGATTATTAAGAACAACTAGCGAAAACTCTCAGAAATTTCTAAGATTCCCAAGATGTGTCCAAGATTTATATGAAAATGTTAACGGATTTTAAGATAATTTCCTTGAAGGATTTGTAGGATGATTTTAAAAAGTTTGTGTATGATTTCAAAGGTACTGTATAAGAAATTATGCAAAATCTCCAGGAAGAATTCTAAGAAAATTGTGAAAATAAAGATCTTTCTGCAAGATGAATAACATTTCGACTGCGCTATCAAAGGGGTGGGGATACCACCCCGCTAAAATTTTAAAAGTTTCACTTTCTCTAGAAAAATAAAATATTAGTAAGATTCCTGAGTTAGTATCTATCTTCCGTTTTGCGAGAAGTCGAATAACTGTATCAATTTGTTTGCTGTTATATTGGATTGATTACACGGTTTTTGGCAACAGTTCGTACAGAAATCTAATAAACAAACAATAATGACCTTAGCTATTAGGGTGTCTAATAATATAATAATAATAATAATAATAATTACGTAATAAGTCAACAAAACCTTGTAGAAAATTGTATCTTATCTGACATTTGCATTTTCTTTAGAAAACCGGATCCTTAATGACATTCATTGCATCTCTCCATTAATTTAACGACTCTTGAGCAGAAAAAGATGCAATTATCTTTAGATCTTTAGATCTTATCTTTAGATTTATTTCTGATACTCGAACCTACACACTGTTACCTTTCCCAACGACTTGGGGGATTGATCAATGCAATGTAAGTAAATTCATATAACCTATACTGGGTGTAAAATATGACTATCTAAAACTAATTGCCAAATTCTTCACAGAACAGCTTCTTAGCTCAAAGCAAATATTTAACCAAAAAAAAACGTTTTTGACAGTCTAAACATCCTTTATGCCTAATATACACTGCCAAAAGTTATATTGATTTGATGTATGTGCCGTTTTATTATTAAACACTAAATTGTTCAAATTCCTACAGAATAATTTTTTTGACTTCTTACAAAATACAATGTAATTTCGATGTTATATCTTAAACGATTATTAACGACGGTAATTTTTTTATTGGTACATAATTGAAAATTGGTTTGCTTTTGATTCCTTCTATTGCGCATCTTTTTCTTAACACATGACTAAAGACATTTTCCCTCTGCGATGACGCACTTTTCCGTCAAGCATGCAAAAATTACATAACTATCTTTTAAAAAGTGCTTAAAGCTCCAAATAACGAAACTCGCGTCGGCATCCTTGTAGTGTGCTCTTTTTTTAAGAAAAGATTCTGCAATTATATTTAGAACAGTAAATTACTCGACACCGGGGATAGTACGTTGAAAACACCGGTGCTCGTCCAATCAGCGAAGTTAAGCAATGACGGGCGCGGTCAGTACTTGGGTGGGTGGCCGCTTGGAATGCCTCTCTTTTTTTAGCGCATTTTTAAGAATTAAAAAAAATGTACTATTGTTTGCGTTTTGTCCATCCGTCCGTCCGTCCGGACCCACTTCTGCCGTTTCGAACTACTCCTAGGAGAATGGCCCTAGAGTTCTTGAATTTTTTGCAGTAAGTAGCCTATACCTTCAAGGTGTGCCAGACGACCATCAAATTTCGCTGTCTAAAAGCCCCCCCCCCCCACGAATTATTTCCTGAGATGCTGTTTTTGAAAGTAAAATGTGCATAACTTTTACATACGACAACCAATTGACATTTTTCTCAGTTTTTTTTTTGTAATCTGGCACAATTTTTGTAGGTTGTACACAGAAAAATAAGGTCTTTCGAATACTTGTTTTTGGTTGCTTTAAAAAAAATTGGACGCCGTTGCAGCGCTCCAAATTTTTTTTTCAAAAATCCGGCCCGTTATTTTTCGTTTCCGTATGCCTAATATATGTATATATCCAAAATTTGAACTGAATCCACCGAGCTGTTACCTCGGAAAATTGCGAACGTACGGATAAAAATTTTATTCTCAGCGTTTTAAAATTAATCGTCCAAGAACCAACACGTTCATTAAATGTCGGGATCGATTCAACTATACGTTTTGCTAGTTGAATTGACGATATTTACAAAGACAACGTCCCCTAGTTCATAATCAACAATTGAAAACACGCCGACATAAAGAATCTTTGTTATAGTAGTAATAATCCAGAAAAAGCAAACGATTTTGGCAAATATTACTTCTAGACACGCTTTGGTAGATACCGAATGGGGAAGGTTTGCTATAATATAGGGCACGCACTGACATTTCGTGTTTAGACACAATATACGAAGAGGTGAAGAAATAAAAATCTTTACTTACCCAGATTGCAAAAGCAAACACGCTTTTGAACTTTTCATACACTTTGTCATAATGAATGTCGTCAACAATGCAAAAAAAAACACTTACCTTATGACGTAATTGACGCACACGACGCTGAGCGGTTTTTGAACTTTGTCGTAGATTAAAGTCGCTTGAGTAAGGACCCAGACGTACCCTCCAGTTTTAGCCAAAAACCTGTAGCGGCCGGTCTCGCATTGTCCTTTTGAAAATACTGTAATCAAGTTAACAAATTAGGAGAGCCTATAAATTTGAGGTCAATATCATTTTCATTTGGGAATGTTACATGTATATTACAGTTGTACGTATGCCAAGTTCATCACGTACGCTAAAGACGGGTACCGGTAAGGTAAATGTCTTGGTTTAGAGTTTCGAGGATGCGTTAGTCGACGGTGATCCTCGAAACTTGTATGCACGTGCTTAAGTGCTGTACTCTACTTATATCATCTTGCACGTAAGTTTACTTTTCTTTTACCATTACGAATAAGCGCGTATTTATTTTGGTGTTTTAAAATTATAATAAATAAACAAATGAATTGTCTTTATTAACAAACATTTTCCCCCACAAAGACGAATATGAAAATTAGAATCCGAAAGTAAAATGAACAAAAGACAGGTAGATCATTTTCGCAATAAGGGAACAAAACACTTGAATCGCCCTTATAGTAGGACACTAATCGTCAAAAAATGAATTAGGTAATTCTTTTTAACAACGGAAGTTTTTGCTTGTTCATTAGTGTAATTGCACGTGTTTCCATTGTGTATTTTAATGTTTTGACAAATTCAACAGAACAAAAACTTTCCAATCATTGAAACTTTGAGTCCTTTTCGGTGAAAAAATGAAACTCTGGTTGGTATACTTTTATTTGACTCCCCTTATTATGAAACGTAATGGAAATAGTAATATCCAAGATACATTTTTGAAATGAGTGTCCTATCTAGATATCAATGTATATAGTAAACTGAAACCGGTCCCTTTGAGAAGGGCGGTATCTAGAACTTTGCCATTACTACATAAATTTGGCGTTGTAATTTTAGATTCAACAGGAAGAAGGGAAGTTTTGAGTTTGTAGTTGGGGATTTCACATATTTCGTTGTAATTTTATTGCCAAGGGACTCATGACCACCGTAACATTATTTTGGTACCCATCACTCGCCATTTTTCTTTGTCGTTCATGTAATTGGTCCATTATATGTTGTTTACAGTCCACTCTTGCGGAAAGTTTATATCGTATTTGTCAAGTGTTTATTTTCGTGCGGGAGAGAAATTCACGGAAGAATTACAGTAACGCAACATTCATAATTTTGATCGTAGGCACACGCATTTGTACATTACATCCATCATGCACAGGGTGGCTTAATTTTCATGCATATCGAAAAATTGAATAGAACATTTTTCTAGAAGTTTCATTACATATTACGAATGATATAAGAAAATGATAAAGGAAAAAGTGTTGTTCATTTTCATATAGAAACCAATGATATAAAAATATTTTTTTTATTTACAATAGTTTTTGAGAAATAGTACAAAGTTTTAATTTTTGTAATGGAATTAAAATGTTTTTTTTTCACTACTAGCGTCTGATAACATGATTATTAACCTTTATTTTATAGCATATGTTAAATTGACATTTTAATAGGTTTGAATGAGTAGGCTAAGCCGTTCTTTAACTGTAGATAAAGGTAGATAAAGTGATCACTTTAACTGTAAGGGTAGATAAAGTGAAACAAATGATTGTGCATTCTAATGACACCTGTCATTCTTATTGCAAATGCAAAATGACGTTCAGAACATATGACAATTCTGTTTCTATGGCAGAACCTAAGCTTACTATTTTTGACGTCTGTAAATTAAATTCAGAATTGTCAGAAGCTTTACAATGATTTATATGGCTTCTGCTATAAAATAAAGTTTTGTATTATACACAACGATAAAGGGAAACTAACCTAATCGTGTTGTATAATAAATAACTATTTTTCCACTTGTAAAGTAGGTTTTCTCGGAAGTTGTTCAACGTGGTTAATAAGGTGATCATTATTTTAAATAAAAAATTGTTTCTACGTCACTGATTTCGATATGAAAAAGGCATCTTCTTATATTTTCGTAGTAATTTAATTAGCGGGCGATCAAAAATGAGTTGCTGTCGCGTCGATTCCCATGGATTTCCCATGGAAACAAAAATTCCAAAGATGACGCGACAACTCATTTTTGATCGCATAGTATAAACCCTTAAAGAAATATTCAGTTTTCACTGATATGTCGTGAGTCATGGAGTATAAACAAAACAAGATCATGATTCAATCCCATCCCATTACAGGTAGGAGATTGTAACATTAAAGGATACCTAAATCCCAATGCTGTGCATCAAATTAATTTAAATAATAATCTACTTTAAATTTTCGAAAATGCCTTCACCTGCTTGGACACATAACTCTTCTACAGTATGTGTTTCCATACCATGAGATATTTTTATATTATTTATCTATCTCGGAGGCTAGATCCTGCTAACAAAAATTCTTCGGTTCAGAATCTATATGCGATATTTTTTTTCTTACATACAGCAATAAACTTATGTTAAACTAAAGTTTTACGGAAATATTCACATACCAAAAAAGTATTTTCTTAGTCAACCATGACAACATTCATCGCATTAAAATCAGTTCTCAGTCAAACACACGCAAAATAACAACAGTTTCCGTCCGTTATATGTTTTGTTGCCTTTAAACTAATTACCTAGTGCTAGTGTAACAGGTGCTCGTTTTGGGCTTAGATACATTGGTGTTGAATTTACAACTTTGCCAGTATAGCTTTATAGTGAAAGAGAACGGAACTAAAATACAATAGAATGGACGCTTTCTGATAAGAAACGTGTGCAAGCAGATACGAGTCCAAAACGCGCTGTGTTGCCGGTTCTAAAGGCCGCGAGAGACGGCTTTTCCGCTATACCTTTACAGGTATAAAAAAGTTATCCGAAGCTTGGTTTTCGTCGAGTCCATTTCGGATTTTTGAATCAGCGACTATATTTGGAAAAATTTGGTGGGAGTGAAAGATTCTTCGGCGAACCTTCAAGGCGAATCTATGTGAGTCGTGTTCAGTATTTGAGATCGCGTAATATAAAAATATTCGCCGAACTTTCAAGTCGTGTTTTAGATCGCGCAACATTTTACTTTCGAAAAGTTTGAAGACGAATTCGTATAATCTAGGTTAAACAGCCCCGTAGTCGTACATGAGATTTTAATTGCGAAAGTTGAGGTTAATTGCCGAATTACAAGGGAAAACTGTGCCACCATTTCAACGAAATTATTGTCGTGTAGGTATGCATTTGTTTATTAAGAATGGGTTGTATTATACTTAAGTAAATTTTACCACGAAAGCGTTGTGGTCCAAAGTACAGAACATTTCAATGCGTTTATACTTCAAGTGGTTAGGTACGCTTAAAAAACATGATTATTAGCCAAACTCTCTTGTCCGTACGGGGTGATTATACTCTAATTTAAACGGCAACAGATAAAAAGTTTAAAGACGGTCAATTAATTCACCATATTCAGTAAACTTTAGAGGGGGTAAATTTTGCTTTTTGATTTTATTTAGGCATAAACTCGAGGGTCATTTTTGTCCATTTAACCCACTCTGGATCTATACTAATAAGCAAGATCTCGATACTTAACACGAAATTTGATACAACCTGTATAGCTGAGATATCGACTATAGAGCGAAATTATAGTCTAATCCTCACCTTGTTCATGCTTTTTACATTCTGCTGCTGACCAAAAACACATTTAATTGACGATATAATCTGAAAATTTGGGAAGTTTAGTATCAAAGAGCGCCTTGTTAGCATATAATATTCACAACTTAAAGGCAGAGAAACGTCTCTTACAATTATTTGCAAAACGGTACTTGCACGAACGGAATAAATTAGGAATTAATGAAATTAAATTTACAGGACTTAAGATACTAATCCACTCAGCTGTCAGTGAAGGATTCGGTAGTGAAATTGGCAGTGCAAATAAAGAGAGACTTAAAAATATACAGTTATTTTTATAAACCCCGCGTTACTAAATTGAAAGATAAAAATAACAATAACAGCGAAAATTAACGTAGTTTTGCAGAAATGGAGTGTCATTCGGCTTTCAGGATACCAACCGCCATCCACTATAAAAACTCTTCTACACAATTATAATTGAACAACGCGTCTCGAGAAAAATCCCAAGATCTCCGAACAAACTCGTATACGTACCTCTACAAATTAATTTTGAATTTACATCCAATTTCCATTAAAGTTGGGGAAAACTAGATAAATTTGATAGAAGTTGCAGGTTTCTATACATGTCCCGAGATAGATAACGTCAACCATTTAACTTTAAGCAAATGTGGGAATAAAATGCAACGGAGAGGCAAGAGTATGGCAATTGTCCTTTGGGTGAATCTCCTAAAAATGATTCTTTGTTCTCCCAGTCCGAATTTATCCCTCGCTATCCATATAAACGTCAATACTTCTCCCGGGTGTAAAATGAAGCCGAGATAGGGTTTCCGCGTTTTAAAAACGTTACTATCAATTATTTTTAGAAAACGTTTCGGTTTACGGTGCGCGTAATCGAAACTCTTTATTTTTACCCGGCAAGTGAAAATAAAACCCTAATGGTTGGAAAATATCTACCATCAAACTGTGAACGGAGAATAGAATTTGGCAAAAGAAAATGTTTGTCGCCCCTTTACCGGATTATAGCTTTCGGTACATTTCACAAGACCTTTAGAATACCAAAGAAATTGACAAATCGATATCTTGTGAGTACATAGTTCCCTTTTACTTCGTAAATCTTCAATGTACCTTCCCAAACTGTATTCAAGCACGGCTATTTTACAGGTCTTTTTGAACACTAACACTATTATCAGCGATTGGTCTGTAATGCGTATGTCCATCCGTTTGTGAGATAACATTGTGTATTGTTACTAAGCAAAAATACTCAATTTTTAGTTTGCCAACTTGATTGCGGGTTTTTTGTTTAACTTACAATATTGAGAAATTACACAATGAAAAATGTGTACCAGCAGCCAACAAAGACGCAAGCAACCAAAAAGAAAAATCATGGATAGGAACTTTAAACGCCGATTGCGTAAGTTAGTTATGCCATGCGAATTATAATGTAAACTTTACACTGCGATACACCAGTTACTATACGAGGCAATTAATATTCTTGTATGTCTAATTCACGCATAGTTGCCTTAATACAGAAGGTTGTAAAATATAGACAATTAAGCGCAGACAATGCGCAAATATGTAGAGATAGATGCTGATATAAAATGTGCTTAACCAAGAAACAACTGCCAAATTTGAATAATGTATGGAACAGAAGAAATCTATAGTAAAACGGCCCTAAAAGTAAGTAAGGTTGTGATGCGAGCTTTCGCTTCTAACTTAACCTGGAAGAAGCTACTAAAAAATATTTTACAGGGCCGATAAAAGAATTTTTAATGAAGAAATTAATACAACACTGAAAGAAATCCATTATGTACCTAATATAAGATTTGTTTACAACCCTTACAATAAGTGATTGCCATATACGAGCGGATTATCGCACAAATTCCGTAATTGCAAAACGGCGAAAGGTCACATTTTAGAGTTGCTTGCCATTTAAACGTAATATTACAAAACTCTATTTGCAAGCAGAAGCCAGCCATATAAATCATTATAAAACTTCTAAAAATTCTGAATTTAATTTAGACGTCAAAAATATCAAGCTTAGGTTCTCCCGTCGTTTTCATGGAAACAATATTTCTGATCTTCATTTTACTTCGTGCTCCGCGTCCCATTTTTAATAAGAATGACATGTCATTAGAATGCCTTTGCTGTTAAAGTGATCACTTTATCTACTCTCACTGTTAAAGAGAGACTTGGCCTACTCATTCAAACCTATTAAAATGTCAATTTACTTTACGTTTAATAGATCATTGCTTGGCGATTTTGCTTTAATGGCTTCTATAAATCTTCTGGAATCAGTGCATATTATTGTATTTCGATTTTCTACATTTGTACGGCAATTTGAAGTTAATTTAAATGTGGAGGACTTCTTTACGTATAAACTATTTCTTGTCATTCCATTTGGTGTCTCAGTGTTAATTTTTGCTTTAGAATTGCCTTGTAATTGTGTAGGTTTTTGTCGTAGTTTTGTATTATTTAATTTCGTTTAAAGGTTGCTGGTCAGTTTGCATACTTTACAAAAGTAGAAGAAAGGGCACCTAAAAGACGCATATCCAACGTGGAAGCAGTTACTCTCTGTAAGTGCTAATCAATTTTGGTGGTACAAACAAAAAAATGAAATATTCTAAATACCTAGTATTTTCGATTTAACCGAAAGTAACTGTACATTTCAAAATTTAAATAGTCAATCACCCCGTATATTTTTACTTTACTTTACTGGATAATTTTAAAAATTATACTTTCATTCAGCGAACTACCGAAAATTGATTTTTATTTTTTTTCTCCATAACGGTCACTGATACGACAAAATTATATGAGACCAAAAAGCTTCTACAGAAAGCAGAAAATTAAATTCTTGTTTCACCATTGACATGACCAATAATGTAAGCCCTTCAGTGTAACTTTAATTTCAAATTTGAGCCAAATGTCTGAAAAACTGCAGAAGATAATAATAATAATAATAATCTAGTTAAGATATGAAGGGAAAACTTAAATTTTCATTCCAATAAGGAACCTTCTATTAAAATGTCAGATCAATAGTACTCAAAAGAAAAATAGTCGAAGACGTGGACAAATGGAAGGACATGTGGACGGAATTTTTTATGATGTGTGTCTATTTGAATTAAGGGGGCATTTAACGAAATTATCAATGTTGGGAGGCAACAAAAATTTTCTATAATGATCGGTATAATAGAAAAGATATTGTTCCATTAAAAAAAGTTGAGTTTCATTTTTTTTCACCACTTTTAATCGAAATGAAATGACTAATGCGCTAATGGTCTATTTAAAATAAGAAAATTGGTGTCGCCTGCTGCACTAAACAAAAGTGCCACTACGTTAGGAAGATTTTAATTCAAACATTTTAGATATTAGTCCACTCAATATGTCCCGTTTCCCCATAGAAACCTTCAAATTAAATTTCTGACGATGAAAAAATGACTGAGTTGTCGTAGGACGTCTGCTGATTAACATATCAAAAAATGCATCGCTGAAAATGGCCGCTAATATTGTTAATAATTTATTAAAATCAATTGAAAATTAGCAACACAAGCTTTCTAACACTGATAGTTCCACTTTAGCTGAACCGATCGACGAAAAAAATACCGTTTTGTAGAGAAATTATTGGTCTTTAAATTTGATCTGGGAACCTATGCCCTACAATCCCTGTTTGAAACGTTAAAAATTGTTTAAACTTTTTCTAATGCCGATTACGCCAAAGCGTCAACTGATGCGGCCGCCGCGCCGCGTCGATCTGAGTACGCGCCACGGAATAAACTGTGATTCTATAATAAGATAAACTTAATTTTGTAATTTTCGCATTGAGCAAATGTTCTTTCCTCTGGAGTCGCTTGTAATATGAAAGATAATTACTTCATTTTCAAATAATATATCATTTTCATATTATATTTGTTTTATACCCGGTACGACAGGACGAAATCCATAAATCCCTTTTGAGAGGTAATAAGCTCTTAGGCTTCCATAAATGAGAAATAAACGTTACTTATGGAACCTATTAAACACATTTCTGTTGTACCTGCATTGGAGAGGTGGGGAGTAAGAGCGAAAGACGTTCGTTATTTAAGGGGCTGGCATGTTGTTGTTGCTAATTACTAAGATGTAAATAAGGAGGTGCTGCCTCTACGTCCAAAATGATACCCAACTACTCAAACGCTCTACAAAATTTAATATTTAATTGGGGCTGAAAGGAAAAGCTTGCGAGTTCTGATAAACCTACCCCGTCATCATTATTCAGTAATTCACTAAAACAAACACTGTCTAATGGTCCATGAGATTTCAGAACTTTTGCGCTTTATAATTGATGAGAACATAGCTGTTCAAAACACCTTCGCTTTACAAAATTAACTTTGTGATAGTTCGCGATGTACATACGCCGTATTGTGGGATTACAAAATGTAATACTATTAAAAAATTTTAATTACATAGTCCGCAGATGAACACATGTGCAGAGTAATTATATGTTTATGATTTACGTAACATTACATAATTCAACTATAATTTTCAGTTTCTGACATTCCCAAAATAATAATCCCCTTAAATAACGATCCAATTTCCTTAATTAAAAAATACAGTTTAATATCCTACCAAAATAAATTGTTTAAATAGACTCCGGGTTTGTGTCAGAAGTAAAACTAGATTCATGCAGTTTTCCATGCGCAATATCCACCTGCTGTTAATTAAAGATTTAACTCGTGAAAGTATGAATTAATCTTTTGTTGCAATGAATTTAGATTGACAAATCATGGCAAATGTAGCTGACGGTCTTTAATTAAATTACCGTTACTTTCCGAATACAAATTAAGTTAGGGGTTAACTCGAAAGAATTTAACTTTGCTCGTAAATGTATATAAAGTAATATGCAAATTTACTATAAGGAACATTCGGTCTCTTGAATTACAAATTGGGAAGTAGTTGTGCGTCTAACATTGGGGACAAGTCGGTTAGGTCTAGAAATTGAGTAGATTTGCTTAATTGGGCGATTAACAGGCGAGCAGTGTGCAGGCCCCATTTTTCGAACATGAGGTCCATTAAATATTACGTTTCGATTAATTTTTATGAAAAATACAGCTAATCACACCGTGGATTGGATCCGTTCTGTCCATGTAAGGGTCCTTTTCACTGTCACAAACGCACTCATTTAATAAGGTACAAAATTCCTATACAAAGTGTTACTCTGTTCTGATCAAGTTTTCTTTACAACCCCGCAAACATTTATAGTAATTGACATGGCAAAAAAAAACAGTTTGATAAAGTAAGATTTTATTCGTCTTGTACACTAACATTAATTCACAATCCACCGCATTTCTTGGGATCTTGCACAATGTCAACAAGCCGTGTCACATTTAACTTATTTTGTACCAATATGGGCTTAATTGTCTTATTGAAAAAGTTCGCGCTTAAAGTCCCGTTCCTTGAATAAACGAATAGATGCTCTAAAATGGAAGTATAATTAAGCGACTCGCACTTTATGCATTACTTACGAATATTCTGGTTGTTTTTATACGAACATCCCCACACTACGCTGTAGGTATTGTAATCCGTGCTCAAGATGTATTGAGGAATGAAGTTCTTTACTTTGTTAGCATACACGTCATATTTACCCGGATTTTGCAACAATTGTTTTTTAAGAGTAAAGTTGGTGGTGACTACCGTTCCAGTTTGTAAATTTTTAGTGGGATATGTAACGGTGTAATTTGTTTTGTTCCATTTATACGATGGCCGTCCGCAATGACCGGTTATAAATGTGTTGTTAAACCTTTTTATTTCGTACCATTTTCCTGCAAACTGCTTTTGGTGTTAGCACGTTAATATTTGAAAAAAAATGCGGTTTACCTTAGTCTCGTTAAATTTCGCTTGTATGAGAACAGTTGGACATGTTCCCGTAAAAGTTGTATTGGTTTGTGAAAACACCACCGGCAACAGGCACAGTGCAAGCAATATAGTCTTGGAAACCATTTTGTCACTAATGTCCGAAATGAGATGAGTTGGGGATTTTATTGTAAAATTGATATCTAGTTTTATCAATCCATTGATACCTAAGGTGTTATCGCGTTTCTTGGCAAACCATTATACTTCAATGAAATTCTTAAGTTCACCTTACTAGTATCGCAATTTTATTAATATCTAATCTATTCAATTGTGCCATTATCTATTAATTTGAAACTCACTGCACAATGCACATGAAAGTCAATTACTACGACCGAAAAAAATTACAATTTTATCACATTAAGAAACCCACTTTATCCCAATTGGAAATTACTTATGTATACCTATTTGAAGAAGATAAAAATGACTAATAGGTATTAATTAGTCACAACTCAGAAGTGGTACATCAAGTGGCTACAATCGTTAATCAATTTATTACTGGTCGTGTTTTAGGTCAATAAAACGCTAAAATTATCATGTGTCCAAGAAATCTTCCCCATAGGAACCTTCAAATTGAATGAAAAATAACTGAGTCAATTTACAAGTTGTGCTGCTTAACATATCAAAACATGCACCTCGGAAAATAACCGCTAATATTGTTAATTTATTCAGAAAAAATTTAAATGAGCCAATGAGCGCCCGATTACGTTTCGATCAACGCGTTATAAATTAACGACTAATTATTACAATACGCGACATGGTTGCTCTTACTAGAAGCATCTGTGGTTAAAAATTCAAAGCAATATCTCAATAACTAAAAAAAGTTGACATTGCGCAGTCATTAATCGTAAAGATTTTTCTTGGCTCAGGTGCTAGCTACTTCATTCAACAAGAATGCACTAAATATATTGAAAACTGTAAGAGTAGTTGCGGCCTCGGACGGAGAGAATGGCCATAATATCGCCTTCCAACTTGAGTTGGAAAATGCGCTAAAAATTGGAAGTAAGTGGAGAAAACGTCACACTAAATCTTCCATGTTTGGCATTTTGCGAAAATCGACTTTAAATCGATGCTAAAATTAAAATACATCAAACATCGTCGAAAAGTTCAGAAACAAGTTTTCGATCCTTGTGCATATTTCGAACTGGCAAAGATCAATGTTTACGAGTTTTGGATTCAAAATACAAAAATTGAACCAATTCCAAGCAAGATAATAAAGGTAATCGAAAAACGTGGTTTTTCCAACTCATGTTGGAAGGCGCTATTATGGTCACTTTGTCCGTCGGTCCGTCCGTACGACGAGGCCTTAGCTACCCCTACAGTTTTCAAGATATTTTATGCATTCGGTAGCTTATAGCGCTGGCACCTCAATCAAGAAAAATCTTGACGATTAATTTGCGCATGCACTGCACATTGTCACAGGCCATATCTATGGAACAGCTTGGGGAAAAAGATTTTGTTAACAAAAGCGGCTAAGAGAAATCGCCGGAAATTATTTTCAAGTTTTTAGGTTTGTCGTTAGAGATTGTAAGATAATGGTTAAGCAAAAAAAATAATTTTTTTCTACAATACCCAACAAATAGCATAAAAAATACATGCACCACAATCTTGTTTGAATTTTGCCTCATATTGCTTTAGCTAGCTCATAAAATATGAGGGGGTGGGGGAAGGGGAACATCTCTTTAAGGAGTTAAATGTAACTTCAGTTTAGGTTAACCGATTTTCACATAATTGGTCTTATTGGAAAGAACTCTCTTCGTGTAATCATATTTTACATGAATAGAGCCTTTTAGTAAGTGTAATAAGGGGTAGTGAACGGAGTGACATCCACATAGAGGATGTTTTCTTGAAAGATTCAAACGGAACGATATGATATTATCAAGTAAGATGAAAAACTGAATACAAATATAAGTGAAAACCGCGTTTTGATATCTGTTTCCTACTATGGCGTAAATACGCACATTCATAAATTTAAATTCGAATATTTATATTCATCTAAGTTGGTTTTGAAACAAAAAAGACACAATGCCACGCAAAAAACTGAGGATGTATTATCCACTCTCCTTAAAGCTTGGAAACCTTGGAAACGGCGAAGATGTATTTTCAACACGATGGGTGCACGGCACATTTCTCCGTGAATGTGCGACATTATTTGAATTGATAGGAAGAGGAAGTATTTTTCCATGGTCAGCTAAGTCACCCGACCTAACTTGCGTAGTCTTTCAAACAAGACCAACTACAGATGGTGGAGAATTAGACATATTACTGACATACACTGTATCTAAAATTAACATTTACTTTAGTTCTAATTATTGTTTCCTTTATTATTTAATCTGAGTAATTTCTCCGATTTAAAATTTGAATAATTTATTTGTTTGCTCATAGTTTAAAAACTTCTATTGAGTGTTAATTCTGAACTGCCATCGTCTCATTAACCATCATGTATATTCTTGCCATGGCCTCTTCAACACTTTAAGGAAAATTTTCTTCACGTCTCTTTCAGGAACTCTTCGTCACTTTCATTCTACTGCATTCATTCTTCATACTTCGATGATCTTAAATTGCTCATTCTTCTTTCACACCTTGCTCCTTCCCTCCTTCTTTAAGACTTTTTCACATTTTTTCCTTGACGTCTCAACCCTTACGCACAATTTAGCACAAAAATGCCAACCTATTATGGGAAACGTCATAAATACAAAAAAAATGTGTAAAAGATTAAATTGTAGAGGTTAAATTTCCCATAAAATACTCCACAAGGGTACATCTATTTGCTTATCTTCAACTGTTTTTGAATAATAAATATAATACTTAAAAATGATATTGCAGGATTTGCGTCGACTGCGATTTTGTGCTGTTGACACATTGTTATTAAACGCTGTAAAAATAACACAAGGTATCAAAAAGGCAAATGATAAACCATGCACAAAAAACTCTGCGACAGCATGTGTGTGTCTGAACCAGTTTACGTGCATTCAAAGGTATTACTGGCGTTGTCACTGAAACAAACTTACTCATTTAACTGGTTGTTATTCAAAAATGGTTGAATCTTCCATCTTCTGTATATTTTTTCATATCTATTTCGACCGACGTTTTCAAATAAATGCGCGTAATTGTGATGTTTGTAAGAAAACTCCACTAGCAGTAGTGTAATAGACTGAACCTATGTTTCTTTCATAATTTGGACGACTACGAAACTGTTTCACAATTGAAGAAGCAATCATACACCTCTATCTATTTTACACTGAGAATACGACAAACGGCTCGCTCTTTATTACAAAGACGACATCAATTGTACAGTGTAAATTACAAAAAGATCCAATAAAATGTATATGATTCAATAGCAAACAAATTTCTCACTTGTACAGAGCAGTAGACCTCGGATAATACGTACCGAGATACGTCCTATCTAATTGTTGCTATATGAACATAAGGAAAATGTTGGAAAAACGCGAGAAAAATGGACTCAAAATCGAAAAGACCTGGAAATATGCTAAAACACAATGCAAAAAGTTAAGAATTATGTACTAAAAATGTAAAAAAAGTTTATCGAACTATAAAACAGTAAAACGAAGTATATGAATATAAAAGTAGATAATTGCATAATAAATGAAATCTATTGAAGTATTTTGTACATTAATTTTTAAAGCAATAAACAATAATATTTCTTTCAATATTTTGTAGTCTGAAACTGTAGCACTTATCATCTGACAATGTCTTTTCTATATCTACTCATGTAACTGTTCAATACTTAAAATTAGAATAAACTGAAATTGGTAGATGCATACTACCATTGTTTAAATACTACTACCAAAATTATTCTCTTTTCCAGTTACAACATTATTGAGTTTTTTTAATTATTTAAAATCAGGTACTTTATTTAATCTATGTTATAACTGGGTGAGGGTTGCAATTATGCTTTAAAAATCACTAAATACTTGAAATATTCCCTCTTGCAGAAATACCAGTAAAAGGTTAACAGTTAAAGTGAGTACTTTTCATTTTCTAACAACATTTAAAAAAGAACATTAGGAAGATTGTGATGATGGAAAGTTTTCGCGTTAATTAAATTTGACATAAAGGCGTCTGGCAAGATGTATAAAACATGTTGGCAAAAAAATATGTACATCCCTTTTAAAAATAATTGTTTTCTTTTATTGTACAAAACCATGTAATTAAGCAAAGTTATACAGAATTAAAAATAAAAGGTTTAGCCGTGCCAAACTGTTAAAATAATAGTTTTTGGCTTATACCTCGCCATTACAAGTGCTCATGCAATTTTTAAATTTGCAAAGACAATATGCAAACCCCATTAGGCAGGGCAAACGGATTGACATTCGACCTCTTTCGACCTGAACACCAAGAAACTTCATATCACACACTACATTTGCTTTCTCTTTGTCTCTGTTCTTGGTATTGAAATTTATTTAAAAAAATGCAAAGTAGAACGGAAGGTGTATATTACTCCTCTATGTTCTTATGTTTACAAAATTAGAAAAATAGAGGCAGCAGGTTTTTGTGAAACCTTATCCAGCCAGATTATTTGAAAAAAGAAATCTGGGCGAAATTTTCACCGCAAGTTAAACACACGGCACCTGTCCTATATTTTAATAGTATATTGAAAGACAAGTGTTACAATGCGACCTATTGTAATACGACTATCTTATGGCACGAGTGGCGACGCGAAGAGTAGCCACGAGTATCAGCAAGATAGGAGTATTACAATAAAGCATTGTAACACGCGTTTTTCATACTATTTTTTCTATTTCGGTGGTTTAATTTAATTTAAAAAATCATTATCAGAAACATAGGGAACATTAGTTGTTTTATGTTGGGAACAATGCCGTTGCAGCAGGACTCACTGGAAGTACCCATGCCTAGCAAATGACATTAATCACATAAAAACAACGTTCTATCCACGAAAGCAAATTAGTTGTTAAAAATTTGCCAGGCTCACTCCATGCCTGCAAATGACATTAACCATAAAAACAACGTTCCAAAATAAATAATGGCGCTCCAATAAATTCAAGTAAAACAAACAATACAGAATCACCAAGAATTACTGAATGATCTTGCCATTAATTACTAGTTTTCCACGCAAATTACTCCATACACAGCATTTCCGCCAACAAAGCCATTAGCTATATGGTACAACTAAAACCAGTTCATAAAACAATGGGAACTTATGATATATGTTTTCCACGCAAATTACTCCATACACAGCATTTCCGCCAACAAAGCCATTAGCTATATGGTACAACTAAAACCAGTTCATAAAACAATGGGAACTTATGATATATACTTAGAAAATCAGAAGCAAGATATGTATGTTGTGTTAAATACAGATTACACTCACTACAGTGTTGTGCATGGCTGTACAGAAAAGGGCGACAAAAAAATAGGTGAGGTAATATTGTGCCGTTTGTAAAATAACTGACCGTTTTAGAAAGACTAGTTATTTACTCAAGGGATGCAAAGCTGAGTGTGGCTGGAATTGCAACCATTGCAAAGTTTATGGAAAAGCTTGGGATGGAAACAAGATATGAAAATTTAATAAAAATTGAGCAAGACAACAAAAAATGTGGCCGAAATAGTAAATATGCAGTAAAAGTTGACTTGTTTATCTTTGCCGCCATATCAGCGCACAGTTTTTCATTTAATCTGATGTTGTGATAAGAAAAATGTGTATCCTGTATTAGTATAGCTAATCTGTCCAAATAGATGGATTAAGTATAAATCAATAAATAGTATCATGACGTCATCGAAAGGGATCTGATTAAAACACTTTTCTTAACAGTAAAAATAATAATCAACAAAATTTGCGGTAATTGTTTAGGAAAATGAAATCCCAATTTGAGTGGCCACGCTGAGTGGCTTCGAGCCCCAAGTAAAGCACATTAACTTGGATTTTTCTACTTTTAGTAATGGTTTGTCTTTGTTTAATAGTCAAGACAACTAACCTTGAGTTTAACAATATGTAAGTCATCGTAATAAGAGGTAAAATGAGCATGAATACTTACAACACTTGAAGGCACTACATATCGAGTCGCTGTCCATGGCATGGTGATAATTGTACAACGATTGTCCAATCAAATCATCTGCATTATAACCAAGAAAGTCCTTCATGCTGTAACAAAACCATCACTTTTACATATAAACAATTCATATTATGTTAAAAAAGTGAAGTATTCAATGATTTCATTAATTTTATTTTTACAGACAAGGGCTTCAATGCACCAAATCCTCTAAAAATGTGCTGGCTATGATGGTAAAAGGAACAACCAATGAAATAATACGACTACTTTTCTTTGAGAAAACCAAGCACTTTTTTGCTCTTGACAAATTCGGATCCCGCAAGAGTAGCAGGAAGAACCTTACTCAAACTGTCATTTGAAGAACCAGGACCCATGAGAGAGACATAATCTAATCCCATTTTTTTAATGAATCACCCCACCCAATGTGGATTGAAAATAACGTTAAATTTGGACCGCCTTTAGTACAATTCTGACGTTTTCTAGCATGACATACAGCATACACTGTGTGCAAGATAAGGAAGTCCATCCATGAGGATCTGTGAAATCATAGAAGATACGCAGATGGTGCGCAATTATTATCATTACTTCTGATGATGTGCCAAAAAAACTGAAAGTTGCAGATTTTCTTTTTAGGTACTTTTTTCGGATCTTATCTGAACAGATACAAAAAAATAAAACACTTTCTCATTGTCACTATTTGAGCTCTATAAGACAGCGTTGAGAGGTTTTCAATAAAAAATATTTTGTTATATGGCCCATAAAAAAAAGTAGGTAACTGTATTGAGTAGCATTTTTTGTTATGACTACGATGTACTGCACATAAAAAAACAAAAGTGGGGACTGTTGGTTTCAACAGGATGGTGCACCTGCGCACAACGTCTTCATCGTCTGAGAATACCTTTTTGTAAATTTTCCATTTTCCAAGAAAATTAGGGGGTTCTGTGCACCATACTGTTGAAATCAACAGTTTCTAACTTTTGTTTTTTATTGTGTGTTGTACGTTGTATAATAAATAATGCTACTCAATACAGAATGTACATATGCCATATAAAAACATAAAGTTGATTTTTCGAAACAAAATGTTGTATTGAAAATCCCTCAACGCTGTCTTGTAGAGCAAAAGTGACCATGAGAAAGTGTTTTTTTTAAATCGGTTTAAATATGAGAAAAAAATAAAAACAAATCGGCAAATTTATTATGATTTCCAAGATCCCCATGATAGACAGGTGCGACAAACCTCCAATGTTCTACCTGGAGATGGCAACTACGGAGTGGAGATTATGGCCGGGAAGGAGGATCCGCCTGGATAGACTTCCTGGGACAAATCGAGAGAGTTCTGTGGGCATCGACCACATCCTAACGTCTCTAGGATTCGAAAACCAAAGATAGTGGAAAGTGAAAAGGCAGCCGCCAAAAACAAGAACTTGGGGGTAAAAGAGGATCCAAAAATGGACTTTGAACCAGAAGGTAAGCTATAACTAAGGAGGTTCAAATTAATCTGCACTACACAATTCTTGAATGCATATATGACTCAAAAATTCTTCTGTAGTGCAACAACCTTATGTGCATAAAAACCAGATCCAGAAGATGGGTCATTTATGACACATCTGAAGGCAAACCTGGGAACCAAAGAAAAGGCACATCATGAAACATCTGTTGCAGGGTTAAGCTACAGTGGTAGTAAGGGAGAAAGACGGAGCTAGTGCTTGGATCCACTACGGGGAGCAAAAAGAAAATCCGGGAGGCATTACTGTTAGGGAATCAAAAAGAGATGCCTGAAATGGGAATACTCCAAAGGACCTTTGAAAAAGTAATGGGAGCTACACAGAATTGGGAAAGATACTCTGGAGTTTTTTCTACAAACACGTCTACCCGGTTCTATTGCTCTCATACCTCAAAAAGAGAAAATCTGCCTATTCCAGATTGAAAAACAAGCAAAGAGAATTAAAAAATAGTAAATACTATCATAAATCATACAAAAAGTAAATGAACAATCAAAAAATTCTAACCATCTACGAGATTAGAGGAATTTCCCCAGCTCTGTTGCATAAAGGGATCGTAAACTGCTATCCCCATATTATGCACACTTTTTAAAGCCAGTGTAGCTCTGGAGTATGTCGTCGAGCACAGAGAGAATGTATAATTTTGGGTTTTTCTGTATTCTATGATGCAAAATAACCTAGCACATCACCTTCCAGCAGATTATACTTGGCAGCCTACCTCAAATAAGATTATCTTTAATGTCACTGTGCTTCTCAAACATCTTTGAAGCTTAAATACACCATTGCACTGTTTGGTACTTTTTATGTGCAAAGATACACATTGGATTGGAATCCACGTTTGCGGGGCCCTTTCCCCCCCATTGACTGTTCTATGTCATAACTATGTACTTTATTTTACTATTTGTGGAAGTACTGCTCAAATTAAGAGGTTTATTATGGCAGGAGGTTAATCATTTTATAAACCCAAATGGACGCAGTCGACTGACGCCAGCCGTGCTTTGAGTGGTAGGGGTGCCTGCTACTGGCCCACGGGCTACTCTTGAAGGCAGTGGACTGGTACATGTTTCAACTATACTAGATTGTAACTGACCTCCACTGGTGTTTACATGGAGCCACTTGATGGAATCCAATCACTGCAGTCCAGTTATTAGCCTACTTACTGGCCTCGTGTAAACGTGGAATAAAGGCGTTTAACACAAACGTTTGGAGTTTGATCAACCACTGAGGGTCTTAACCCACGCTCCATGGGTTATTTTTCATTTCCTCACCCCACATGTCTCCATTTCTCCTACATTGGCGGTGGTTTACACAAAAGGAGGGGAAGGCTTTCCAGAAATTCCACATTTTTTTCCAGCGCATTGCGGTTTTATTAATGTAAAATGGATACCTCAACTCTGGCATAAGTAACCAATATACTAGATCCTTGATGACTTTTCAGTTGCATTTCTAAATCACTAATTTAGAACAAAAAAATTAAACAAATTGCATAAAAATGGGAACATTGATTAGTTTTGCTAATTGAGTTGAGGGGACATTACTTTTGGCCATAATATACCTGTATCTTCCTTCATACTGTGATAGAATAAAAAAGCTCCAATTTGTTATATTATTGGAGAGAAAATTTAAGGGCCCATTAGATGTAAACCCAACTGTAAAAGAATTTCCAGCCTGATTTACCATTCGGTGAATTTAAAGTGCCATTTTACTCCTTAATATTTGTAGTGGGTTTTTATTACACATAATGCAAGTCTTTAGAAAACGGTGCCCGTTAACCTATACGGCTATACCCATCCCCAATTCATGAAACCTTTAAGCTGCTGGTAATGGTACACAAAGTTTGCATTGGAGATCATTAAGCATTAAAAGACAATGCTACCATCACTTACAGAAGATTTCTGTTAGGTACTAACAAATTTTATTCCATTGAAAGCACAAGGGAGCATAATCAAGACCAAGTAAGCTCTTCTAATCCACCGAAATGTACGATATTGATGCAATCAGTGATCCTCTGTAAAATAAGCAAAGAAAATTACGAAATTATATACTTACATATCATCTGCGTATGTAAATTTCATGTCTAAACTATGTTTTGATAGGAAAATATTTCGACCTAATGGTGCTTCTATATTGGAAGGATGAGGTATTGGTTGGCCAACTGCTATGAAGCACTGTTGTAAACTAGGCTTTTCTTTTACATTTTCATCGCAATAAACCATGTGGCCGGTACAGTGTATTACCTGAAAATAAAATTGAATTGTAATAGCTATAGTTCTACGAAACAAAAGAATAACAGAGACAATAGCTGCATGGAACAGCAATTTTCTTTGTCTTATATCATAGTCGACTTAGCTGAGTTGTATGAAAAGTCATGCTATTAATTAACAGGATAGATTTTTTCTTGGGACGTACAATATTGCATTCTGCAAAAAGGTTAGTGATTCTGGGTCCAATGAGTATGTACAGGGTGGTTCGAATTCGTGGGATCTTCGTAACGGTACGGCTTTTTGAGACCAAAAAACGCATTTGAAAAATTTTGAAAAATCTTTTAAAATGTATATACAAGGAAATATGACAAAAACTGAAAATGTCAAATTTTGTTTTCAACTCCCTAGCTTAAACCGAGGCTTAAACGGTTTGAAATGTTTATCTTTTGGGCATCGGATTACCGCGACTTTACTTGTTCTGTTTAATAAAAGTTATTATTTTGTTTTTATTTCTTGGAACTCTTACCAATCTTTTTGAAGACATAATTTGTTACATTGTTATGAGGAGAGCTTTTCCACATCTACAGAACTGGTGCTAAAAAGTGAAGAAAATAGTAGGTCTATTGGATTTTCGTGTTGGTGAATTGGATTACAGGTGTATAGGTTATGCAAGGATATGGCACCTACCCACTAAATTGGAAAATAAATTCGGGAATGTGGTAACTTGCCGATTCACTATGGCTGGACCGTCATAGTGATAGGGCTGGGCAATTGAAACAATCCACAAGTGAGTTTTATTTCCAGAAAAAGATCAACTGCCGGAGATCGGGTCTGTGGAAACAGTTCCTCTCAATAGCATAGCTTGGGGAAATATATTTTGTTAACAAAAACGGTCAAAGAGAAATCGCTGGAAATCATTTTTAAGTTTCTAGGTTTGCCGCTAGAAAGCGTAAGATTCATGTCTAAGCATAAAAATCAACATCAAAATACATTTTGCAGGTTTTCCTGAAGATTTCAAATGGAACAATATAATTTTTTTATTTAGCATCAGCTGCTTTGGCTATTAGCTATTAGCTAAGTGTTTATGTTCTCTGTAGTAATTATAGTTTCCTTAAAATACCAGTTCTACTTAGAAATAACAGTAATCTATTGACAGCATCAGTTGTATCTTCAAATATACTTTTAAGGTTATTAGGTAGATTTAACTCTCTTCTCAGCCTTTCGGTCTGGCGGCACTCAATCAATATATGATACATCGACACATTCACTCCGCATCGCACGCACTCATTTACTCCTACCTTCCCTAGAAGATGGAGATGGGTAAGGTTAGTATGGCCTATTCTTGCCCTCGTTAGCGCTGATTATTAATATTATCAAATATGATGAAAAAATGAAAATATCAGTGAAAACTGCATTTTCATGTGAATTGATTGGAATATATTCATCCAAATTAGCATTGAAACAAAAAAACACAAAACAAGCGATAATTACGTCAAAGAGAATGAGATAATAATAATGTTTATTGAGATGATGGCAGTTCAAAATTAACACTCAATATAAGTTTTTAAACTATGAGAAACAAATATATTATTCATACTTTAAATTAAAGAAATATACCTAAATTAAATAATAAAGGAAACAATAATTATATTTGCCATGATTTTCCATAGAGTATAGAGAACAGCAGCTTCAATTTCAGGCATAAATATGTTATGAAAACAACAAGGTAGGTCAGGTGACCTGGCTCGCCATGGATAAAATACTTCCTCTTCCTATCAATTTACCAGGATGTCGTAAATTCAAACAATGTCGCACATTTGCCATGAAATGTGTCGTGCACCCATGGTGTATATGGTGGTTCGTTTAGTTTCCAAGCTTCAAGGAGAGTGGGTGATACATTCCTCAGTTTTTTGCATGGCACTGTTTCTTTTATTTCAAAGCCAACTTGGACGAATATAAATATTGCAAATGAAATGAATTGTGAATATGATTGTGCATATTTTTGCCATATCTCTGCTTAGAAAACAGATATCAAAAATGCGGTTTTCACAAACCTAATAATTATATCGTTGCATTCAAATTTTCTAGAAAACTTGCAAAGTTTATGCCAATATAACATTTCAAAAAACGTTCATGTTAAGATCCTCTGTCTCTTAGTGTAGTAGTCACAATCCTTAAAATTTTAAATTAAATAATAATGTATGCAAAAAATTTCCAGAAATTACGACTGGAACTTTTTTAGATTTGATCGTTTTATTTTCAAAATATTTCATATTTTCAAAACTACATTTTACACTACACTTTTAATTTGAGTTTCTAAGTTCGAAATTAATTTATGGGATATCCCACGATTTATTGCTGTAAATTTTGCAAAATAAGCTTACCTTATATGTGGCCGATTTGAGATTAACAGAACGTCCCTTATTCGTAAGGGTGCATTTTAACCTGATAAAAAGCGATTTTGTTACATCACTGCTTTGATGTGATTTATTCGCTAACAGTTCCTTTATCTCGCCATGATCACAAGGATGGCTATACTCGTAAATATTTTGGCCCATTAGATCAACCTGAAAGAAGCAATTTATTACATAAAATTTGAAATAAATTTTTCAGATATACCTGAGTAATGCCAACGTAATCACAAACGTTTTCTGATAAGTATATAAAATCACCCTCGGGTGATAGGACTAAGAGGAAGCCTTCCAACGACTTCAAAAAGACGGGTTCGTCTTGAACTTTTGGTTTCCGTTTTGGTTTCTCGGAGTGTGGAACTGCAAATTACTCACGTAAAGGGCTACTCTAACGAACCAAGAAGTACCCACCTAAATTGACCATATCGCGTACTCGTAGGTATGAAATCGCCAATCTCATTACGGAGGCCTTGTCAAGTTGTGTTATCTGCTCTTTTTGTAAGGGTAGCATACTGGCCAGGTCGGTGAAGATTTCAGTTTCCCGAGATCGTCTGCAGCGGGCTGCATCTCGTGACTTTTCCTTGCGTTTTTCATTATTCCTGTAAAAAAATTCGATTATATTCTCCGTAACTAGGCAGATGTTAGGAATCTAAATATAACAACTTTAATAGATTTCAATTGCTTGAATTCATTAACGGAACACTTACATTATACCGCGCGTGTTAGGCAATTAAAAACGATACAGACAATTTCCAAACTACTTAGTGATCAAAACCGCAAACTTTTGGGGTCTGCGAGATATAGAAAATGGTAGATAAGTACGTAAACCGGTCGTGAACCAGACGGCATTTATGATTAAGAAGAATTGCACTGCATTTGGGAATCTTTAATGACGCCACAAAAGGTTTATAGTTCATTGGAAAGCAGAAAAGATTCCCCTTATAAAAACCGAAGTAATAATTAAAGGAAAACTGTCCTTGTGAAAGTATTCTAATCAACCTTGTAGTCAACGTGTGTAATATTAGATAGGACGTGATCTAACCCACACAGCGTGGTCCTTAAACAATGATTTGAATGTACCAAATATTATTGCAGTAGCTTACAAATTTATCTCGAGCATTGCACCATCAGTTTACAAATATTTGTAAACAAATATGCAAAGTTCAATACACAATCAAGTGAAGACTCTACACTAGGATCCCATTATACCTCGAATTTCAGTACTTAGTAAACTTTAAAAGCTTTGTTGCTAAATTTCGTATGAAAATGGTTAGGTGTAGGGGAAGGTGGGGATGTTTGGGTCATTTTTTAAATAATCTGCATAATTATTTGAAAATGATACAGACACCACTTCAATGTCAGACAGTTGTAATTAGTAACCTTTTAGCAATCACTGTCCATAGTTATTGCTATATTATTATTACATAGGATACTTGAAAATTCAAAAATTCTAGAAGTCACTATCTGACCCAAACCTCCCTTAATGTGGGAGGTATGGGTCAGGTAATGGGGTTAAATGGGTCACTTACTATTTGTGATGTTTTAGGTGTAAAAGGGCTTATATTTTTACAGTAAAACTATTTTTATTGGATATATTGCATACAAAGTTAAAGTAAACAAAGAAATAAGAACACAACAAATTCCAATTCTGAAAACAAACAAAAAAATATCATGTGGCCATGAATCGTTAACACATCTATTTCAGGTTCTTAAAACTACTTAGGTCAATATCAAAGTTAAAAAATTTTTGCGTTCTGTTGGTACCAGCTATGTTATTTGGAGGACTCAAACGCAGAACTATATCGCTAAAATCAACTTCTGAAATATCCGTTTCCTCTGGGTAATAAAATGTGTTTGAATTTGTTTTCCTTCGTAAAAAATTTATAACATAAAATCCTTGTTCGTTTACGTTTTGTATATTTCCAACATAATGCAGACATGTTCGTTTTGTGGTAAATTTAACAACTACATAATCGCCAACTCTAGAACAACTTGCAGAGTGATCAAAATCTTCAGACACACGGTCATTTTCTGGATCGTATTCGGAAAGGTCCGAGTCCGGTAGTTCTTCACTAGCTGATATGTTATTTTGAAGAACAAGTTGCACAGCTTGTGATATTTGCTCAGGTGTTTTTCTTTCTCTGTCAGTTTTCTGTTTATAAGTTAGAGGCATTTTGAATCTGTAAAGAAAATTAAATAAGACGTTTCACTAAAAGAAAGTGGGGAGGTTTGGGTCGACTCAAATCTCCCGCGCGCTACTGACCCATACCTCCCTCTCTTCAATATTCACAAATGTGCACCTCTCTTATTTATGCAATATGTTTTAGGTTATAATTTGTCGTTTATATTTGTAACTTAAATGTTACTTAAATCACAGAAAAAATCACAAGCACATCGTGGTACATGCAAGCTCAAAACAATGATCTACTTATATCAGTAATTTAAGTGAAACTTACCTGGAAATTGACTTATTTTCCCAATAAACTAAACACACGCGTAGACAAACATGAGGCTCTGTTTACAATGTCACCTATTAGTACCGCAACCAGTAATGCACCTATGAGCGGGATACATGTACCATACATGAAAATAAACCCAGTGACCCAATCCTCCCACGACCCAAACGTCCCCACCTTCCCCTACTACCCTCGAGATAAGTGTATTAATGTAATTTAATATAATAACGAAGTTATGGGTTGATTACTGTAAATAACAACTAATTACATAACAACCTACTAAAAAAAGATGTTTCAAAAGAAGATAAAAACATGACGAATCATTGCACATTAAACCCGAGATTAAACCATTGATACATTTTTGATTGTATACAGGGTGTTTTTTTGGGAGCTTTAGTTAAAAGTTTCTGGGAAAGTAAAATAGGTAGGTTTTTGAAAAATTGTACTTAGGAGTTACTCTGAAAGCCGAATCGATGTAAAATATTGTCAAAATGGTCGCACTTCCGGAAACACCGGAAGTAGATAGTAACTTCGTTATTTTGAATGACAACCCCTATTTTTTATTGCATTTTTGGATTCTACGTGAAATTTCACTTTTATTGATACCCATATGTCGATATCTACCATTTATGGTTTTTAAGTTATTTTGACTTTAACACGTTGAGTGCCACGAGAAATTTTTGAAAATTTTTTATCGGGCCAAAAACTATTTTAAGCATTTTCGGATATGTTATGGCGGGTATAATGGCAAAAAGTTATAAATATCATGATACAGTGTGTAAAGCGATGGGGTATACAAGAGGGAATTTTTTTTAAATATTGATTTATGAAAAAAATTTATTCTTCATGATATGTTTTGTTTCCTTTGAAAGTACCAATAACGTTTCGATAATCTAAAATTTATTTATAAAAATTTGGAAAAATAATAAAATTAATTTTTTTTTATTGAAAGTTACATTATAATTAAGATAGAGTATTACTATCAAACCACAAACAATCGAAACGTTATTGGTACTTTCAAAGCAAGCAAAAAATATTATGAAGAATAAATTTTTTTCATAAATCAATATTTAAAAAAATTCCCTCTTGTATACCCCATCGCTTTACACACTGTACACTTGTTTATTTAAAAATAAAAATAATAAATTTAATAAAAACTGCTGCAACTACCGAGTGGTCCCTAGGGACCGCCATGGCCCTATCAGATAAGTTACGAGCGGCCCCCACGGACCGCTGCGGCGCTAAACGTGTTAAGAAAAGAAATGGCGGATGCAGATGGTACCTTGATAATTGATTACTTGCAAACGGTTGTAGTCATGGCAACCTATTTTTATCAGTGCATAGAGAATGAATAGGGCTTTCTTTTAGTGCACTTAAAAAAAAGTTAAGTTGCGTATGACCGCCCCTATGGATACACAAATTTATGAAACTTCAAAGACTAAAAACTCAGTTTTTTTAAATGGAATGACCATGTTCTTACTATTCCATGAGATAGAGAATCGAAATTGGCATATTTTGACAATACATGTTCCTATAGCTATCTTTAACAGTTTCTGACTTATTCCCATTTTATTGAATTGACACTATTTTTTTAGGATTTTCTTTTTAGTAGTCGGCCATGATTCTATAACAATTGAATTTTAAACAAATCTAGTGACACTAATCCATCACCCACTGTTATAGGTTAACATAAGTTTTTCAAAAATCGAAAAATGACTCGCAGTGGTTTCACCTATTTTGGAATTTAATTGTTATTTATGGTGAAATGGGCAGAATCGCGGCGCGTGCTTTCCGTACATTCATTCGAAAACTAGAACGAAATTGTATGAATTTTGGAAATTTTGTACTCCTAATGACCGTTGAAGCACAAGTGATACAAAGCTCTAGAAGAGAATATTTAAGAAAATGAATTGAATTGCAAATGCAAGATTAACAAAATAAATTCAATGCAAAATATAAAAAACTTCGTTTTTGGTATGGAATTGTTGCTAGAACAGACCTTTCTTAATTTCCAGACTTATACGTTGTTTAAGAAATTCAGTTGAACGACTCTGTTTAGATTTTTCAAAAATTTTCCGTCCTACATCCTTAATAAATGAGTTATTTATTAATGAATTATTTAGACTAGAACTAGAATCAGTGGTATTAAAGAATCCATTCCTTGATTTGTTTAAAATTCGATTGTTATAAAATCATGGCCAACTACTAAAAAGAAAATGCGAAAAAAAATTGCATCAATTCCGAGATCAATTCAATGAAATGGGAATAAATCAGAAACTGTTAAAGATAGCTATAGGAACATGTAATATCAAAATATGCCAATTTCGATTCTCTATCTCATGCAATATTAAGAACATGGTCATTCCATTTAAAAAAACTGAGTTTATAGACTTTGAAGTTTCTTAAATTTGGATCTCCATAGGTGTGGTTGTACGCAACTTAACTTTTTTTTAAGTACACTAAAAGAAAGCCCTATTCATTCTCTATGCACTGATAAAAATGGGTTGTCATGACTATAACCTTTTTCAAGTAATCAATTATCAAGGTACCATCAGCATCCGCCATTTTTTTTCTTAAAGTCAAAATAACTTAAAAACCATAAATGGCAGATATGACATATGGGTATCAAAAGAACTGAAATTTCACGTAGAATCCAAAAATGCAATAAAAAATAGGGGTTGCCATTTAAAATAACGAAGTTACTATCTACTTCCGGTGTTTCCGGAAGTGCGGCCATTTTGAAAATATTTTACATCGATTCGGCCTTCAGAGTAACTCCTAAGTACAAATTTTCAAAAACCTACGTATTTTACTTTCCCAGAAACGTTTAACTAAAGCTCCCAAAAAAACACCCTGTATAATGATCCATATATGATAAAAGTTGAACATCTCGATCTCTGTCAGGAAACAATACGCATCCCCACGTCAAAAATGTGGCACTAATTAATCTAGATTCTTCCTTCAAGTTTGCATGTATTATACAGGATGTCCCATAAATGCCATATCATGACGTCATGACAAATACACATAATACAAATAAAATATATCACAATTAAGCATTTTCAAAGAACTCTTTGGTGTTATAGAAACAGTAATTATTTAAGTATTGAAGTAATCTCTTATTATATAGTGTATCACAGCAT